GACCAAGTGCACCAAATCACAGGTCTTGCGAACTGATATTGTCCAATGCTATAAGGTTCGGTCCCTGTTGACATTGCCCACTATTGAGAGGACCTGCTTCTTGCCCAAGAGAATGCTGCGCTGAACACCAACGCATCGAACCCAAAGGTCACCTCGTAATTCACGCAAGTCATTAGGAACAGCAGACATCACCTTGACGACTGTTGCAACGTAGAAGATAGACGCCTGATGTAACGAGAATGCGCAACGTTTTGAGGCATACCTGTTCACCATAGATAATCAGCCAATGCTTCTAACACCATCATCCACCACCTGCCAGTCGCGATTTGACGACAGTGTAATCAAACATCCCACCTCGATCGACCCACTTCCCGTGGCAAGTAGATGGCTACCACCGGCAATGCACACGACATCAAAATCCCTCCTTGACTTGTTAGTTCTCTCCATCAACAGTTCACCCGCCCATGGCAACCCATCCAACATTAACTTCCTGCACAAAATCCACCGGTTTTTAGCTGCCCACTGAAGAAGAAGGCAAACAAAGCACTCCCACCAGGGCATCTCCTGACTACTTGCACAACAACCACTTCTCGCCTTTCAAAACGACGACCCAGGCACCTCCATTTCCTCACCGGAGGACCACTTTGATGCGCAAGATATTTCATACAAAACAACAAGCACACATGGAGAGAACGTCACCATTCCTCTCCTTTGCTCTGTATTTGCGTGCATGTTCACGCACGCTCCTTGGTGAAATACCACGCTTCAATCAACCACAAGGAAAGTCGAAAGTGGGAGTAGAAGAGCCATCGGATGGCGGAAACGGTGTGTATGAAGTAACCTGAGTATCGGTGAGGAGGTAAACGAGTCTGGGAGAATAGATTACACTGGCAAGGTGGTGATGGGGAAGACAAGGCTTGTCAGGGAGTCCGGGAGGGGGGCAGGGAGGAGGTGCAGGTGGATGGGGCTGTGGTCTTCGGTGGGAAGAAGACGTCTTTGGTGAGAGTGCTCACGATCGAGGGCACCTGCTTCTTGCCCGAGTACGCTGCTGTGGAGGCCAACGACTCGAACTCGAAGGCCACCTCATAGTTCACCCGAGTCATTATGGACATCAGATCGAGAATGCGACCGTACTTGCGCAGGCAGTTGTTCAACGCCTGGATGAACCACGAACCGTGCACCGAGTTCCTAAAGGCGTAGTAGCCTAAGGAGAATGAGGTAGAGTTGGAGATTACTCGCGTTATTTCTAAGCTGCATTTCCACTCCAGAGCTATGGGTCAGGATGACTATCCCGCCTGTAGGTGGACTGAATGAATATTTTAGTTCGGACTACTGTGATTCTCAAATGCGAATCAGAATGTTGTAGAGTGGAGTTTCTGCGTTGGGCATTGTTCAAATCAAGTAGATCACAAAGAACGTGATTTCCATGGCATTTCGTTGCGGCAGCGAAAAATCCCTGTTTGAAGCGATCGTTTTGCTTCACGACCGTGATTATTCCAATTTGGAGAACCAGGATACGTGAGGTCATTTTCAATAATGAATCACTGCAGTGCATAGGCAAGGCACGAATGATGGATCAGGTTAGGAGTGCAGCGAGCCTGCGATAAATGATATGCACAAGGAGCACCTCAGCCACGAGCAGTACGAAGCGAGCTCCTGAATGGCTGTTGGCTGCAAGAGCAAAACCACGTCTGCGCAAACCTCAACACGCGAGTGGAAATTTGTGCTCCGTGAAGCATCGGTCCAAGTGCCTCATTCTGCTAGTCAAAACGCACAATGAATCGGTGATTGTATAGGCAAAGATGGTGGTTGAAGTGGACTCCTCATGATAAACAACACCAAATATCGAAACGAACTCCACGGCTAGACAGTTGGTGGTTCCGACATGGTTGAATCTCCACTAGCATCTCGGGTGAAGAACAAACCGGAAGGCGAATAA